CCTGGCCTGGCATCCCAAAATGCTGGAATTACAGGTATGAGCCACTGCACCTGGCCCTGGGTCACACTCTGAGGTTACAGGTGAACATGAATTGTCGTGGGAGTCCCTATTCAATCCACTACAGGGGTCTACAGTTTCCACTTGACTAAAAGTGCCACTAATACTCAATTGTCATAAGGCATGTTATTCTGTTTAGAGCACGTGGAGCAAGTTTACTAGGTTTGAGATCACACAACTCCATACAAACTATTTCATTTTAGTGTGAAAATGTGTTTTCCTCTCATGGAACGGATGCAGAATATCAGAATTTTAAAGAGAGGAGCAGAACTTAAAGAAATCCCCACCCCTCACCCCCAGCTTGGCCAGGCACGGTGGCTCACGCCTGTAATCCCAGGACTTTGGGAGGCCGAGGCGGGCAGATTACCTGAGGTTGGGAGATCGAGACCAGCCTGACCAATATGGAGAAACCCCATCTCTACTAAAAATACAAAAATTAGCCCAGCATGGTGGTACATGCCTGTAATCCCAGCTACTCAGGCGTCTGAGGCTGGAGAATTGCTTGAACCCAGGAGGCAGAGATTGCAGTGAACCAAGATCACACCTGGGCAACAAGAGCAAAACTCTGTCTCAAAAAAAAAGAAAAGAAATCCTCTTACATTTTTACATAGCTGAAGCTTTTAAATTGTCATAGCTCCACAAGTTTGTACTTAGGGCTTTTGCTTTAACCATGATCCAGTAGGCACAACAGGGATGGGAATACAATTATTTAAGAAGGCGGTAACTAAGTGAATTCTGGGTTAAACTGCCATTTTTCCAATCTCCCTCATTCTGCAGAGAGAAGAGAAAATTGTTTCCATTTCTCACACAATGCTCTTATCTCATCCTTGGCGAGAACCCTCATGCCTCTTCTTTGGCACTGTAGATGAGGGGTGACAACCCTCTACGTCCCAGGACAGTTTCATCTACAAAACTGTCATGTTTTTCTTTTTTGAATCAGGGTCTTGCTCTGTCACTCAGGCCAGAGTGCAGTGGCAGCATTATGGCTCACTTGCAGCCTCAAACTCCTGGGCTCAAGTGATCCTTCTACCACAGCCTTGCGGGTAGCTGGGACCACAAGTACGTGCCACCATGCCTGGCTTGCCTATTTCTTTACTTATTTCTTTAGAGATAGGGCCTAGTTATGTTGCCCAGCTTGGTCTCCAACTCCTGGCCTTAAGTGATCCTTCTGCCTCAACCTTCTGAGTCTCTGGAATTCATAGGTGTGAGCCATGGTGCCCAGCAAAACTTTCCTTAATAAGTAGGTTTTATAATCCCCATATTTCAGTCTAGCACATGGGGCTTAGAGAGGTAACATAGCAGTCAGACACATGGTGAAAAAGACTAGAAGGATATATATAAAAGATGTCATAAGCCCGGGCACGGTGGCTCATTCCTGTAATACCAGCACTTTGGGAGGCTGAGGAGGGAGGATCACAAGGTCAGGAGTTCGAGATCAGCCTGGTCAACATAGTAAAACCCCCATCTCTACTAAAACCACAAAAATTAGCCAGGCATGGTGACACATGCCTGTAGTCCCAGCTACTTGGGAGGCTGAGGCAGAATTGCTTGAACCTGGGAGATGGAGGTTGTGGTGAGCAGAAATCTGCTGCTGCACTCCAGCCTGAGCAACAGAGTGAAACTTGGTTGTAAAAAAAAAAAAAAAAAAAAGGCTTGTGTGAGTGCAGTGGTGTTTACAAGGAATTGATCACAACCAGTTACAGATTTCTTTGTTCCTTCTCCACTCCCACTGCTTCACTTGACTAGCTTTAAAAAAAAAAAGAATATAAAATAAATAAATAAATAAAGGCACAGTGGTTCAAGCCTGTAATCCCAGCACTGTGCGAGGCTGAGGCAGGCAGATCACTTGAGATCAAGTTTGAGAGCAGCCTGGCCAACATGAAGAAACTTCATCTCAACTAAAAATACAAAATTAGCTGGGTATGATGGCATATGCCTGTAATCCCAAATATTCAGGAGGCTGAGGCAAGAGAATTGCTTGAACCCGGGAGGCAGAGGTTGTGGTGAGCTGAGATCATGCCATTTCACTCTAGCATAGGCAACAAGAGCAAAACTCCATCTAAAAAAAAAAAAAAGATGTTATGTGATTTTCTCTTTTTTTCCTTTTTTTTTTTTTAAAAATTATACTTTGGGCTCTGGGGTACATGTGCACATCCTGCGTCCTGCAGGATTGTTCCATAAGTACATACGTGCCCCCCCCACCTCCCCCACACCCCATTGCCTACATCAGGCATTTCTTCTGGCGTTATCCCTCCTCATCCGCCCCACCCCACATTGTCCTTCCCCTCCCCTCCCCTCCACCTCTCCACCTAGCCCATTGAGTGTTGTTCCCTTCCCTGTGCCCAAGTGTTCTCATTGTTCATCACCCACCTATGAATGAGAACATGCAGTGTTTGATTTTCTGTTCTTGTGTCAGTTTGCTGGGAATGATGGTTTCCAGGTTCATCCATGTCTCTACAAAGGACATGAACTCATCGTTTTTTATGGCTGCATAGTATTCCATGGTGTATATGTGCCACATTTTCTTTGTCCAGTCTACCATTGATGGGCATTGGGGCTGGTTCCAGGTCTTTGCTATTGTAAACAGCGCTGCAACAAACATGTGTGCATGTGTCTTTATGATAGAATGATTTTTAATCCTTTGGGTATATGCCCAGTAATGGGATTGCTGAGTCAAATGGAATTTCTATTTCTAGGTCCTTGAATTGCCACACTGTCTTCCATAATGGTTGAAGTAATTTATACTCCCACCAACAGTGTAAAATCGATTTTCTTTGTTTTCCTAAAGCTTTTTTTCTTTCTTTCTTTTCTTTCTTCCTTTCTTCTTCTTCTTCTTCTTTTTTTTTTCTGAGATAGAGTCTCACTCTGTCACCCAGACTGGAAGACTGGAGTGAAATCTCTGCTGACTGCCACCTTCACCACCCTGGGTTCAAGCAATTCTTGTGCCTCAGCCTTTCGAGCAGCTGCGACTGCAGGGCTGTGCCATGCCTGACTAATTTTTTTATATTTTTAGTAGAGGCGGGTTTCACCATGTTGGTCAGGCTGGTCTTGAACTCCTGACCTCAGGTGATGTACCTTCCTCGGCCTCCCAAAATGCTGGGATTATAGGCATAAGCCCTCACACCCGGCCTCCTAAAATATTTTAAGTACAAATGAATTAATTTTTTAAACCATGAGTATGGGTCCTTCAGTTCAAGGTCACTGAGAAAGTGGGAATCAGGATAGGAACCCATTGCTGGACAACTTCCAGTGGATGTGGAATTTTCTGGACCCTCTTCCAGTGACCCCAAGCTTCTGCCTTTATTGTCCTTCCAGCTTCAGCGCTCCTCTCACTTCAGGCTGGGCCTCCACCTCCGGCTGTGGCCCTCATCCCAGAGACTAGGACAGAGCAGAGGAGGGCTTCATAACGATGGGTCCCCAGGCCTGGGGCCTTCAGTGAGGCTGGGACCAAGGCATCCTGTGGCACCGCGCCCCCCCCCATCCAGTTTCTGGGCAGCCACCATTGCTCTTGTCCGTGTGTCCTGGTAGGAACACTTGGCGAGGAAACGTTGGAAGGAGACTCACTACAAGGCAGCTTCACCGGCTGTGTTTTGTGGCCAGATGAAGGAAGGAAAGCGCGTCTGCCTGGAGTGCGGAATGAACCTACAGGGTGATCATTACCCTCATCAGCGCTGCCGTCACTGGCGCCGCAAGTGAGACACCCCCTCCTCCCCAAAGCCAGTGATTGCGCCAGAGCTCCTGCACGCTGGCAAGCAGGTGACGCCGCGGCGGACGGCCAGCCTGGGCGAGGGGTTGGGGGGGCGGGAGGGAAGGGGTTGGAGAGGGCGTGTTCCCGTCGGTGAGGCGAGAACTCACCCGCGGTCCCCAGCCAGGGGGGCGGGGGGCACCCTCCTCCCTTCCGCACTCCCTTGGGGCACACACCCGCGCTCTCCGCGTCCTCAGGTGCTCCGAGCTTCTCCGCGTCACCCGCAGCCAGGGCGCCCCCCGCGACGCCGCCATTCATTCCTCCTACACTGCGAGAGCAGCGCCGGCCTCCGGAGCCGGAGAAGCCGCAGGGCGCGGCGGGAGCTTTGAGTCCGCATTTCGGCGCCAGCCGCCGGGCTAGGGCTGGTGGGGGGCGGGGTGGGGGTGTCTGCCCTGGTGCGTGCCGCGTCGGCCCAGTTACTATAGATCCCTTCTAGGAGAGACTGAAACACCCAGGTTCAGGAGACAGAGACTGTGGCACATGGATCCAGGAGCCAAGAATGGAGACAGATACAGAAAGGCAAAGACAGTTAAGGGACAGGCGTAGACAAAGGCCACTACACAGCGAAAGAGACACGGGGCACAGAGACAGAGAGATACAGACACTTGGCGATAGACTGACACATGCGAAGGCGGAGACAGAGACACAGGCGGGCAGTCCGAGACGCACAGACCCCGAGGATCTACTTAAAGACCAGCAGAGCAACTAGCACGAGAGCGCGCCAACGGCGACGGCACGATCCACTGGCCCCAGCTCTTCCCGCGCTGTGGGTTAGTGCCTTCCCCACTCATCCTGTACCCGAGTCTCCTCTCGCCGGGTTTCCCGGGTACCCCCTTTCCATTGCACGCCCTGCGGCCGCCTTCGCGCCCCAACGCTCCCGGCCAGCTTTTGCCCCCCTGCTCCCAGTCCCCCTGGCACGCCTCTCCCAGCCCATGGGTCAGACCCTCCCCCAAGCTCCTCCAGTACCAGGCTCGACCCCACCCCCCTCCGGTACCGCCTCTCCCCACGAGGTCCCGGCGGGGTTGGCTGGTACCATTCCCCAAGACCCACGTGCTGGCCATTCCCCGCCACAGTGCGGGAACCTCCCGCTACTGCTCCCTCGGCTCCTGGGGTAACCGGGCGCGCTCCTGCCCCCGGCCCCGCCTCTTTCCCCTGGCCAGTGCCCGCCCCGCCTCCACCGGGCCCCGCCCGCCGTGCTCTGCCGCAGTCGGGCGCTCATCGTCATTCCGCTCTCGCCGCCGCCGCCGCCGCCCCCGCCCCCCCCCCCCCCCCCCGCCCGGGCCCCGCCACCGCCGCCGCCGCCTGCCCAGCGGCCCGGGAGGCGGAGGCGCGGGGGAGGAGGCCCCGCTTGGCTCCTCAGCCCCGGATGCTGCATGACTTCATCCTTCCGCCGGCTCCCCTGCTGAGCTAGGGCCGGTCCGGCAGCCAGCCCGCCGCCCGCGCCCCGCCGCAGTCCCGCTCCCGCCCCGCGCCCACCCCGCGCCCGCCATGTCCGAGATCTTGCCCTACAGCGAAGACAAGATGGGCCGCTTCGGCGCAGACCCCGAGGGCTCCGACCTCTCCTTCAGCTGCCGCCTGCAGGACACCAACTCCTTCTTCGCGGGCAATCAGGCCAAGCGACCCCCTAAGCTGGGCCAGATCGGCCGAGCCAAGCGAGGTACGCGGCCCTGGCCTGGAGTCGCCGCCTGACCCAGAAACCCTCCGCCGGGCGCCCCCCGGCTGCCGCTCCCCGCCGAGTGCCCGCAGCTCTTGCCGCAGACCAGAGCACCAGCCGCTCTCCGGCCCGGGCTAGAGGGGGGCGTCCCCGCTGCTGCAGTGTGTCCCCCTGTTCCCTTCTCCCGGGAACACGGTGTCCCGGATTCGATGCTCGCCACCTCTGGAAGCAGAGCCCTGGCACCTGGGCGAGGGGGAGGGGCCGGTCGGGGCATTCGGGGCTGCTCGGAAGTGGGAACGCGGGGTAACGGGCTGATTCTTTGGGATCAGATACTGAGTCGGTGGACGCTACGGAGAACCTTCGGGTCGAGGGGCGTCTAACTGGAGAGGGCAGGATGTCGGGGGCCAGCTTGTCTTGGTTGTTTGCATGGGGAGGGGGCTCTGTTGGTGCTAGGGTCGGAGGAGGGGTGCCAGCGGCGAGAGGGCTCGGGTTGAGGAGGAGCTGGACTAGCTGCATACTCGGTGTGAACCCCACTTGAGGAGGGGGTTCTGCTTAAGTGCGGGTTGAAGAGGGGGTTCCATGAGGTTTCTGATCAGCTCAGAGGGAGGAAGGCTCAGGTGGCAGGAGGGCTTTCACCAGGAGGGGGAATAGCTGGAGCCTTTGGATGAGGGGCATTTCGCCATCGGGAGGGAAGGGGTCGGGTCCGTGGGACAGAGGCTTGGCGGCGGGCTGGGTCTCCAGGAGAGTTCTGACGGGGAGGACACCGCGGCACAGGGTTCCGAGGGGCGTCGCTGGGCCACGGGCAGTAGCTGCGCGGGACGCTAGGACGCAGGGCTCATTCTCGCCGCCGCCCCCCGAGGCCGCGCGGCTGACGCGCTTTCTCCCTGCGCAGTGGTGATCGAGGATGACCGGATAGACGACGTGCTGAAGGGGATGGGGGAGAAGCCGCCGTCCGGAGTGTAGACGCGCCGGCTCGGGCGGCGGGCTCCGGGCCCAGCCTCGCAGCGGCCAGGAGCGCGGGCCGGCTATGCGGCTGCCGGCGCCCCCAGCCCCGGCCCAGGCGCCCGCGGGCGGGGGCTGCAGGGCCGCGCCGCCGCCGCCGCCGCCGCCGCCGCCTGGCACTCTGGAGCTGTCCGCTTCAGCACCACGGTGGCCGCGGTAGAGGCGGCGCGGACCAGCCCGGAACCCGCCGCCGCGCTCATGCACTTTAAAACCTCGGGCCGCAGCCCCACCCCGCACACCGGAACGGACACGGAGACCCGCGGCCCCCAGCTCCCGGCCCGCCCCCTCCCGCACGGCTCCCCTGCCCCACCCCCCTCAGGCCAGTCTGGTCTGCAGACCGGGCGGCCGCCCGTGTCGGACCTTGCGCGGCCAGGGATGTTTGGCTGCGTACTTGCATGAGCTTTCCACCCACCTGAGCCCAGTCCTCCGGGCCGTTCCTCACTCCCACCCCTGTCTGGCGTGACCCTAGCCTCAGCCTCTTTCTAAGGGACTTCCTCAGCACATTTGTATTTTTATATCCGACTCTTTGTTTACTGGCTCTGCTCATGGTTCCCGCCCTCCCCTCAGTCTCGGCCACGCTCTTCTGCGCCTGGCAGATAGGATGGGTGTTGAGGCTGGGGTGAAACAAGCCCCCAACACGGTTACCAACCACATGGCCAGTCTGCCCAGGCCTGACCCCAGGAGGCTCTCTGGCAGACCCCTTCTCCCCAAGGTATCATCACCTTCCAAGGGCCCAGATACGATTTTACCTTGGACCCCTGTGTCTTGCCCCTGTGAACCCAAATGGGGACTGCTCTGCACCTTTGGATGACATCTGTGGCCCCAAAGATGTTCTCAACCCAGGGGTGCCCTTTGTAAATGTTTCTTCATCCTCACTGTACCAGGAGTGTGTGAATAAACACAGACCTCCCTGTGTGTGTGTGTGTGTGTGTGTGTGGCCACTGCTTAGGTCTCAGGAGCCAGGCCAAAATGGGAGATACTTGGGAATCTCAGATGCATGTTGCTGGTGAGGGATGGCTGCCAAGTAAGACAGGCAGGCCAGCTTGGCCTGGGAACATCATTATGATGTGGCCTCCTTGGGTGCAGATATAACCCAGGCGGGACTGGTCACCAGTATTGGGGATGGAGCTGGGGTCAGAAGCATAAAGCAATCTAGGTTCAAAGGCTGCAGTCTCCTGTGGACAAACCCAGGCTAGATGGGCATCAGCAACAGACCCCAGGATCTCCAGGCTGGCTGGTATGCAGAGGGGTTAGGCTGAGCTTTGCCCAGGGGATGCATCACTGGTGGTTTGGTGTGGTGGGAGAGGAGGTTGGGGAACCCAGGAAAGATTTGAGGAACCCAAGAAAGAAGCAGGAAACATGGGATCTTGGATCTAGTTGGAGCTGGGCTGTATTGGTTCATGTGGGTTCATTCCTACCCTCTATCTTAGGCGTGAGGCCCCTGGGATGTAAGCACCTTGGACCCAACCCCAAGTCCTGAGTCAGGAATTCCAACTACCTGAGGAGCCCAGGGCGCAATGGCACGAGAGTGGAGAACTATGCTCCGGCCTCATAGCTGAATGGCACTAAGGAAGTCCTCATGATCTGAATCCTGAAGGAAGCAGGGTGAGGTGGGAGGTCTGGGGGGCGAGAGGATTTGGGCCCCCAGGGCCAGCTGGGCCACACTGAGCTCCCCGCCCTTGTGCATGAGGTAGAGATGGAAGTGGAAACCACTGCCGTAGGTAGCATGCCTGAGGGACCAGCCGTAACAGGCTTGGGCATAGTGTCTGGTCCGAAAGTGGGGGGCAGCAGAGGTCATTGAGATGAACCGGCCTCCAGGGACCAGCACGCGGCTCACCTGCAAGGCAGACAGAGAAGCCATCAGTAAGAAGTGGATCTTCAGGTTCTCAAAGGTCAGTACTGCTCCAGATGCCCTCCCAGCCCCACATCTGTAGCTCAGGCTTTCCATGGCAGAGTGAGCCACTTTCTCTGCCCCGGGCCATTCCTTGGGATTAGGGTTATATTCTATTCAGAGAGAGGGTACAGGAGTGATAACAGGTGCTGGGAGCGCCACTTTCCTATAACTGCTCACCTTTGCAATCTCTGTCACCTGTCTGGAACTTGGCTGCTACCTCATCCCTATGGCAACCCAGTAGCCACACATCAGCCTTTGTGAGTGGTTATTCCAGCTCCCTCTATAATCTTGATCCAGCTTAACCCTTCCCTTCCTTCAGAAAGCCACACTCCTGAAGGGGACCCACTACTTGCTCCAAAACATGCTTCTAGCTTCTGATTTCTTTTAGTGCCCTGAAACCTCGACCCCGCAGCCCCACCTCTTGATCTACCTTCCTCTCTTGTTGCTCCCTCACCTCACTCAACACCTGGTCCACAGTGCAGACACCTTCAGAGGACACGGTCCAGGGATCGCATTCCCCAGCCAGCAGGGCATCCAGCGTGCCCTTCTCAAGCACCACGTCAAAAGAAGCACTGGGGAAATCCAGCTGCCTCGCGTCCATGGTCTTCCAGCGCAGCTGAGGCACATGGGCATAGCGAGCCTGCATAGCAGCCACCACTACTGATGAGTAGTCCACACTGGTCACATTAGGAAAGCCTCCGAGGAACAGCTCGTGGCTCAGGGCACTGTTCCCGCAACCTGGGTGGGAGGGGATAGGTGGCAAAAGAGCTACGTTAGCTTTGGTTCTCACCTCCCCCGAATATCCATCCACTCTTGGCCCCATTTCTTCTCAGTCCAAACCCTGCAGTACTGAGAGGAGGTGTCGGAGTGCAGAAAAAAGCACAAGCCTTGGAGTCGCACAGGCCTGGGTGCAAACCCTGGCTCTGTCACTTGCAGCTGTGTGGGCTGGGACAAGTTGTTTAAGTACTAGACACTTGGATTTTTTTTTTTTTTTTTTTTTTGAGACGGAGTCCCACTCGTTCACCCAGGCTGGAGTGCAGTGGCGCAATCTCAGCTCACTGCAACCTCCACCTCCCGAGTTCAAGCGATTCTCCTGCCTCAGCCTTCTGAGGAGCTGGGATCACAGGTGCCTGCCACCACAGCCAGCTAAAACTCGGATTTCCTATTCAGAAAAATGAAGATAACAATACCTAGGCATATACAGGATTGAGGCATTAAACTGAAGAACTAAGAGCTGGAGAGTGGCTGAAGGAGCTCTAAAGTTAGGACTTCAAAGATCCAGATTCTGATATTCAGAGTGACACAGCCATGGCAAATCATTCAACGCTTTGAGCCTCAGTTTTCTCAGATTCAAAATGGGAATGACACTGGTATCATTAGGACCATAATATTATTAGCAGTATAATAATAACATAAATTAGTATTATCCGAATCCCCATCCTCTTAGAGAACCTTAGAAGCTATCAACCCTGGAAAGGCTTCATGTTAGGGGTTATTTGCCTACTTTGTTTTCCAAGGTAGAATTAACAGGTAAAGGGGAAACTAGGCAAGGACACACAGTGGAGCCGATTAATTCCTTGCAATTCTTTTCTTTTCTTTTTCTTTCTTTCTTTTTTTTCTTTTGAGACTGAGTTTCACTCTTGTTGCCCAGGCTAAAATGCAGTGGTGCCATCTCAGTTCACTGCAACCTCCACCTCCCGGGTTCAAGCAATTCTCTGCCTCAGTGTCCCGAGTAGCTAGGATAACAGCCACCTGCCACCATGCCCAGCTAATTTTTGTATTTTTAGTAGAGATGGGGTTTCACCATGTCGGTCAGGCTGGTCTTGACCTCTGGTGATCACCTGCCTCAGCTTCCCAAAGTGCTAGAACTGTAGGCATGAGCCACCGCACCCGCCACAATTCTTAACGTATGTATTGAGCACTACATATTAGGTTTTCCTGATGAATAAAAGTCCCTGCCCTCAAGGAACTCATGCTCCAGTAGGAAGAACAAAGGTGTAATCAGACAGTTGTCACAAAACATGAGTGTTTCAACAGGGACAGGCTGTAAGAGCCCCCAGGAGGCCTGGACCTCACCTCAGGTGAGTCAGCCAAGAGTTTCTGGGGAGCTGACAACTGAGCAAAATCTTAAAAAAGAGTCTTGACAACTTCCCAACACTTGGGTAGGAAGTGCCTGGGAAGCAGTCCCAAAGTGGGCAGGGTCAGGATGGGGAAGGGATAGAGGTGAGAGGGGCAGATGCGGATCTACAGTCCAATGGGCATGACTTCCTTAGAGGATCCAGTGGCCTCTTCCAGGCCCTCCTACAGCCAGTCCCAGCCTGAGAATGGGGCTGGGTGACAGCTCTTGACAGCCCTACATGGGATGGGGATCTTCAGCCCTTGGGATTAGGTCTCCTTTAATCCTCATTTGCCTCCCTAAGAGGATCACAGGATCAGCAGTTGGGATAGCCCTAATCTATCAGGATTTAGCACCTGGACAGTGTGCCCAGAGGCAGCTGGCTGCTCCCCAGCTGCCCCTTCCCAGCTGCCCCTTCCCATGTTCCTCTCCAAGCCCTAGGGCTCAAGGACTGCTAGCTTGCCTAGGACAACCCAACACATGCTTCCCAAAGTTGAAGCCACAAAAAGCCCTGGCAGACACAGCATATGGGATGGGGGTAAGGGCTGGCAGACACAGCATACGGGATGGGGGTAAGGGCTGGCAGACAGAGCATACGGGATGGGGGTAAGGGCTGGCAGATACAGCATATGGGATGGGGGTAAGGGTGGCTGAACAGCAGACCCTGACTCAGTTCCAGGTGGAAATCCCACTGGGCTCACTGATCCACAATCCCTTCATTACCCCCACACCTGACCTCATATACCTGTAGAGTTCTGCCCAACTGTGGACAAATCCAGATTTCCTTCCTTTGTTCCCCTTAGTACAGGATGATATCTTCCAAAAGAACTTTACCAAAGATGAAGGGGAAACAAAAGCTGGACTCTGGGGCGGTTATGCTTACAAGCAGTGACTTCTGATTCTACTGACTCAGAGAGTTGGAGCCAGAAACTAAGAAGGGGCTTGGGAAAGCCACTGCCTTCCAAAGTGGGGCCTGAGGGAAGTAGAGCCTTGGAGAAATGATCCATATCCTAGAATCCATCACATGATGATGTAGAGCTGTGTGGATCTGAACTCACCACCAAGAGACTGAAATATGAGTCAGAATGCCAACTTACTAATTTATAACAAGAAATATAGCCATCATGGGACTGGAATTGAATTCTCTGGTCAGGAAATCTAAATTGAAAGTCAAATTAATTCCAAATTATTTTTTTATTATGATCAAAAGATTCCAAAGGATTGCTTAAGCACAGGAGTTCCAGAGACTGCAGTGGGCCAGGATCACACCACTGTACTACAGCTAGGGGACAGAGCAATACCCTGTCTCTAAAAAAGAAGGTTCCTACAGAGCATGAAGTCAAGCAAGCATAGAGAATCAGAGAAGTACAATAACAGCAAAGTGGGGCCAGTCAGCCACAGGCATTCATTTGCTTTGAGGATATTTTAGCCATAGGGACCAGATGCACAAGTCCTCTAAGAGGGTACTCTGTTCTCAGAACAGTCCTGGATAAACTGCCTCTTTGAGTCCCATTTTCAGTAAAAATAATGATAGCTAAAAATTGAACACCAGGTACTATGTTAAGCATTTATAAGAATTATTTTGGTTGACTTTCACAGGAGGGCCATATAAAGAATACTATTGGCCAGGCGTGGTGGCTCACGCCTGTAAACCCAGCACTTTGGGAAGCTGAGGTGGGAGGATCACTTGAGGTCAGAAGTTTAACACTAGCCTGGCCAACATGGTGAAACCCTGTCTCTGCTAAAAATACAAAAATTAGCCAGGTGTTGTGGTGGACGCCTGTGATCCAGCTATTTACTTGGGAGGCTGAGGCAGGAGAATCCGCTTGCACCCAGGAGGTGGAGGTTGCAGTGAGCCAAGATCACACTACTGCACTCCAGCCTGGGCAGCAGAGCAAGACTCTG